CCCGCGGCTCCAGCGCCCGCCCAGTGCCCCCTCCGCCTCGACCACTTTATTTCGGCACCGCACCCCCCCTCCCCGCTCCGCCCCCTCCCCCGCGCCGTCTCAGCGCTCCCCCGCGGCTCCAGCGCCCGCCCAGCGATCCCTCCGCCCCGACCACTTTATTTCGGCACCGCACCCCCCCTCCCCGCTTCGCCCCCTCCCCCGCGCCGTCTCAGCGCGCCCCCGCGGCTCCAGCGCCCGCCCAGCGCCCCCTCCGCCCCGACCACTTTATTTCGGCACCGCACCCCCTCCCCCGCTCCGCCCCCTCCCCCGCACCGTCGTCGCCGCCGCCGCCCCGGGCCGAAAGTCTGGTCTGTGGGGGGGCCCCATTCAAGTGGCGCATAGCCGGCCCCCGAGAATACACCCGACAGACTCTCCGTGCAAAGCGACTGCCTTGGACAAGCGCTCGCAACACAAGGCCGCCGCGCACTTTGCACCGCGAGCCCCCAGCAGCTGAGTCCGCTCAGTAATTCTTCCAGCCCTCCTTGGACCCTGGAGGCCTCCCCTTGGAACCCTCTGTAGGCTTCTCGGGCGTCAGTTGGAGGCTTCCTGGGAACCCGTCAAAGGTCTTTGAAGCCATCTTGCGGGGGACGGCCCTTGGAGTCTCCTCGCGCTCGCCCTCTGGAGCCCCTCTTGCGGCCCTGTTTTGTTCACTCCTTCTGCGATGTCTGGCATCCTCTCCCCCCCCCTCCTCCTCCATATCCTCCTCCTCCCCCTTCCTTTTTGTGCAAGAGTCATGGCGCGCGTGCCACTTGTTATCATTGTTGTTGTCTGGTGTTGTCTTCTCTTCTCTCTCTTCTTCTTTTTTTCCGACTACTGCCCCCCCCCCCCCGCCCTCCGCCACCTCCCTCGTCCGTTTCCTCCCCCCCTCCTCAGCGGGCCAGCCGCTTTGCTTCCCTCCTGCCCCCCCCATTCTGCTCCTCAGCGGCTCAACCGCTTTGCATGGGGGGAGGAAGAGGAGGAGGAGGAGGAGGGGGAGGGGGGGAGGAGGAGGAGGAGGAGGAGGAGGAGGAGGAGGAGGTGGAGGACAGGATAACGATTTCGTCGCAGCCGTTTTTGGCTTCAAGTTTTTTGAATTCGCCCAGCCGAATTCGAGAATTCGTTAAATGGCTGCCCGGGATGCTCGCTGCGCCACGTGCGGCGCCCTCGGCCCCGCAGCCAACGTGGACGCGTGGCACTTGGTGGCATCGCTGGCGCCTGCAGTGCGTTCGGAATTGCCGAGCGAGCTTCGGTGATGAGCATCGTTTAACCGAACCCTATCCCCATCTCGGTGGCCTTTTCTCCACTAGGGGATTTACCCCCCGACGTGGAGATATAGGCGGAATACCTGGGGTTTCGGAAGGTATATCCCCTATGTCGGGGGCGGCGGGAGGGGGCGGGCTGGTGGGGGGCTACATGGGGTTGTTAGGTTAACCGATACTGAGGTGAGGCGCTACTCACCGTCGACGCGGACGCGGCCGCGAAGCTCGTCGACGAGCGCCTGGCGATCGCGGCTCAGGCGCGCGCTGCCCAGGACGGCGAGAGGGACAGGCGCGCCGACCAGCGGCGACGGCTTCACTGAATGAATCCGCGCGCCGCGCGTTTCGAATCGGGAGCTGTGCTCCCCGCCTGCACCCGCAGAGAAAAAGCGTCGCGGAGGGCGACGCCTCCCGTCGAGGAGGCGCCGCGCGCAGTTCCTCCTCCCCCCCCCCCCCCTTCCGCGTTCTCCTCAGCGGTGCGACCGCTTTGCTTTGCATGGTCCCTGAGGGGGGGGGGAAGAGCGTCCGAAACCAGACAGATCAGTGATCTATCTGTTTTGGGCCCTCCTCCACCTCTTCCTCCTCGTCCTCCCCCTCCCTCCCCTCCTCCTTCTCCTCCTCCTCAGCGGGCCCAACCGCTTTGCCTTGCAGTTTTCGCATGTATTTCCTCTTCCCTCCCTCCTCCTCGCCCTCCCCCGCCTCCCCCCTCCTCAGCGGTCTACCCGCTTTGCTCTGCAAATTCAGCGGCGCGGTCGCTTCCCGCGTTCACGCTTCCCGTTCGCAGCCACTTGAAGGGCTTCCCGAGGCGACTGCCTTCGTCGGAAGTTCTCCCGCGCGCGCCATGGCGTCCAAGCGCGTGATGAAGAAGCGGCGTCCAGGAAAGGTTGCTTCGCTGCCCTGTGACGATGACGGCGACCATGCCGCTTCCTTTCTCATGCCCTCATATCATCTCTCCATCCAGGCGCAGCGGCGTGACCGCTTGGCACCCGACCCCCCTTCCCCGCACCTCTTCAGGCGATGCTACTGATGCAGCAGACGCAGCACAGGTCATCGCCAACGCGACGATGACGACCTTGCCCAGCTTCTCCGACGACAGCCCTGCTCCCATCGCACCAGCGGCAGCTCAGAACGTGCTGCAGTCGCTCTTCCAGCGCCAGACCGCGGCAGGCAGCCAGGAGGCGCCAACCGAAGAGGCGGGAGACGCTGTCGCAGGCAGCCTTCAGCCAGCAGCAAGCGAGCCTGTCGGAAAACCCGCCGGCGAGCCCGTCGCCCGCGCTCCCGAGGTCGCGCCGGCAGAATCCCCGAGCGACGCCCGCCCGCCCTGTCCGCCCCAGCCCGAGGCAACCAAGGGGGCGACAAAACCTGACAAAGAGGCAACGAGGGGCCCCCTGCCTGACAAAGAGGCAACAAAGGAAGAGGCTGAAGAGGAGGCGGGCGAGGAGGCTGAAGAGGAGGACGTGCCAGTGGAGCAGCTGTCGGATGACGACAAGAGGGGGGAAGAGGTTGAGGCCCTGCTCTCGCAGGGCGACCCGAAATGCTCCATGTGCAAGAAGGAAGCGAATCCGCTTGCACAGGGTTGTAAGATCACCCACGGCGGCACGGTCATCACGCGTGCCACGTGCAGGGTACGCGACCAAACACTTCGAAGGATTTTCGGCGGGCGGCCGGTTGCGGAGTTCGACGAGCTCACCACGGAGGAGCAGGATCACTTCTACCAGACTTGCGGGTCAGCCGCTGCTGCTTGCCGCGACGCGATGAAGGGGATGCTGACGAATGTGCGCATGAAGCGCATCACGGAGACCCACGCTGGGCAAATCCTGCCCTTGTCTGCGTGCGAGAAGCTGGGATACAACGCGAAAGATATTGAGGAGAAGACGCAGGCTGCTGACATCGAGGATCGCCCAGTTCTCGGGAAGACGTGCCGAGTTCAGATCCACGAGATCTCGGAGGCCAGGATCCAGGAGGTCACCACGCAGAAGATAACTAAGAAAGTTGGCCGCAATCGCAAGCGCAGAGCGTCAGCCTTCCTGGAGGCTGCCGAGGGGGCTGAAAAGCCGCAGAGCGCAATAGCGGCAGGAGCAGCAGCAGAGCTCGAGGAGGCTCCAGCGGAGCTGCCGAAGCAGAAAGGCTCAAAGAAGCGCCAGCGCAGCAGCAGCAGCAGCAGCGACAACAGCAGCAGCTCCAGCTCCTCGAGCTCCGACAAGAAAAGGAAAAAAAAGAAGGGCAAGAAGGGCAAGAAGGGCAAAAAGGGCAAGAAGGGCAAGCAGGGCAAGAAAGGCAAGAAGGACAAGAAGAACAATAAGGACAAGAACGATGACGAGGAAGAGCTTTCAGGGTCTGGCGCGGGCCTCAGCCCAAAGGAGCTTGCGGCCAAGCGCAAGGCGAAGCTCGCAGCAGAGAAGAAGGCGGCCCGCGAGGCTGAGAAGATTCAGAAAGCCATGGACAGGGAGATGGCCAAAGAGGAGGCAGCCCGCAAAAGGGAGGACCAGAAGAAGCGCACCAAGGGCTTGCAGACCGTTAACAAGGTGCTGTTGGCGGTGAAGCCTTTGCTGAAGAAGACGGGGGATCTTCTGCGCGATGAGCGCGCGAAGAAGGCGACGGAGTCAGATCGGATCTGACGATGGGGAGGAGGAGGGAGAAGAGGAGGAGGAGGCGGAGGAGGAGGAGGAGGCAGAGGAGGAGGAGAAGGAAGAGGGGGAGGAGGAGGAGGAGGAGGAGGAGGGGGGAGTCGCCCCCTCTCATTTCAGGCGCCGACGACGTACACTGAGGAGGCCACCAAAAAGCATAAGTTTCTGAATGATGTTGTGGAGCATTGCAACAAGTGCCTGGAGGACGAGGATGTCGTCCCAGACGTCAAGGAGGAGGAGGTTAAGACGGCTGTCAACTACATGACATCGTGGATGAAGAATATCAAGGCTGCTTTCGAGACGCAGTCGTGGGCCAAGAAGAAGTGATCCACTGGGGCTCTGGCCAGATCACTTCGGAGTAAGTCTCCATCGACTCGTTGGTTGCCGATGGCATGACCGTGGCGGTAGCTACCTGGACTTTTGAGCGTGCTTGCAGGGGCACACAGCGGACGTAACCGCTCTCGCGTGGGATATATAAGGAGCTCGTTGCTCCTCTTGCTAGC